CACACACACACACACACACACACACACACACACACACACACACAAAACCAACAGTTCAAGAAGCTATAAGGAAAGGAAGTGAGGAGGATGCTGGGAGGGAGGAAAGAAAAGGAAGCAAGTGCTGTGGAAAACAGAGGTGAGCCAGCACTTTAGGGACCTTAGAAATGAGACATTCAGGGAAAACACTATCAATAAATAGTGTAGCCTCAGTGAAAATCTGGCTTCTGTTAGGGGGAAGATGCCAACTGGCTCTTAGGGCAGACAGATCTAAGCTGGTGGGGAGCTGTGCTGGCACAGCAAAGCTCGGAAAAGTTAGGCAGGCTGAGAAAGTACCTCCAAAACATGACCGGATGTCCTTATACTATCTCAGAGAGATGCTGGGTGTCATGATCCTTCCTTGCAAAACACATTGAGTTGCACAGTGACATTGTGCCAAGCAAATGAAGATTGTGCCTGCTGTCAGCCATCACTGTGTATAAGCAGAAGTTAGAAGAATGGCATTTTACTTTGCAGCCAAAAAGCTATGTTTAGGGAAATAGGCTAAGGATAACATCTGACATCCTGTTTACTTGCATTCTTGAGCAATTCTTTTTCTGGACCTGGTTCCACTACACAATCCAGCTGCAGTACCCTTAGCAAAGGCTCAGACACAGTCACATAAGTGGGTAAAATACACTTAAAAACAATGTATGAGAACAAAAAAGCACTCATCCTCTGTCTATACTACAGCTCGAAGGTTCATGTTTCCCCAACAAGAAACACTTTGCATTTAAAATACTGCTCTGAAAAAAAAAAAGCAAGTCCATAATAAGAGAGCTCTATTATTTTCAACTATATTTTCAGAACCAGTTAAAATAGTCATATTATTGAGAAATTTAAATAAAGCCAAGTTTAATAGGATAGCTCTACATTGGCAAATGTATGTCATTCACCAAAATCACTACCCCTGATGCCTGGGGGACATCCAGTCACAGTTCTTTCCTGCTAAGCTTCAGAATCCTTTTCAACACAGTTTCAGGCATCTACTATCAAATAATCAGCTCAGATAATCCTGATAAGCATTTTCAAAACTGCCCCTTCTTGCTCTGTCAGAACACTTATCACACTGTTATTATTTGTTGACCTGTCTCCTCTGCCACAATGTAAGCTTCCTAGAGTAACTCTCATCTCCTTATTTAACACTGTGCTCTCAGCAGAGTGCCTGGTATGCACCATAGATGTTCAGTAATGCTGAATGTGTGAATGAATGAACTCAGATGGTGTCCCAGGTATAGACAACACTTGATTATAACAAGGATTTTGTTTGGGAGGGTTTTTTTTATTTTTATGTTTTCGTTTTCTGGTACTGGGGATTGAACTCAAGGGAACTTGACCACTTAGCCACACCCCCAGACCTATTTTGTATTTCATTTAGAGAGAGGATCTCCTAAGTTGCTTAGTGCCTCCCTAAATTGCTGAGGCTGGCTTTGAGCTACAGATTCTCCTGTCTCAGCCTCCAGAACTGCTGATATTACAGGCGTGTGTCATTGCATCTTGTGTTTTTTTTTAAATGACATAAGACAGTCTTACTAATTATTTTTGTGACTTTATTGAGATATAATTAATACATAATAAACTGCAATACTGAAGGCATGCAAATTAATGAATTTTGACATATGCAACACTTTTGATATAATCACACACAAAATCTAGATAAACTTTCCATCACCCCCCAAAGTGTCCTTGTGCTCTTTTAACACCTTCTTCTCTTCCTTTCTCTGACATCTCAGACAACCAAACACCAATGTTTTCAGTCTCTTTAAATTAGTTGGTTAAAAAAAAAAGATTAGTTTGTATTTTTAATTATCTTGTATAAATGGAAGTATACAGCACACAACTTCATTTCATAGGGTTTGTTTTTTAATAATATCATTTTTATTTATATATGACAGCAGAATGCATAACACTTCTTATTACATATATGGAGCACATTTTTTCATATCTCTGGTTGTATAGATAGTATATTCACACCGATTCCTGTCTTCATACATGTACTTTGGATAGTAATGATCATCACATTCCAACATCATTAATTACCCATGCCCCCTCCCTTCCCCTCCAACCCCTCTCCCCTATCTAGAGTTCATCTATTCTTCCAATGCTCCTGCTCCCTATCCCACTATGAATCAGCCTCCATATATCAAACAAAACAATCAGTATTTGGTTTTGGGGGATTGGCTAAATTCACTTAGCATTATCTTCTCTAGCTCCATCAATTTACCTGCAAATGCCATGATTTTATTCTCTTTTATTGCTGAGTAATATTCCATTGTGTATATATGCCATACTTTTTTTATCCATTCATCTATTGAAAGGCATCTAGGTTGGTTCTACTTCATGGGGTTTCTTAATTCAACATCATCATTTAGAGATTCATACATGTTGTGTCTATCCATAGTCTATCCATATAATAGGGATTTGACCCCCATATGTTTTGGCTGATATACTTATAAGCAAAAAAATATAGTCAAATGTTTTATTGCCTTTGACCCATGGCCAAATCTATGTAATGGAAATAAAAACAGAATTCATTTGTTAAGAAATTAAATTCCCCGGTCTGACCTCTATAAACACTTTTATATGTCATTTGGACAATTTTCACAATTGCTCATCAAAATTTTACTCTACAGACAACAAAATTTGGCAGTATTATTAAAGTATCAATTTCATTTTCTAATGAAGAACAAAGCAAGAGTAACTTCAGGAACCTGGCCTAGTCCAAAATAGGCTTGAGTTTATTGAGGTCACCTGGATGAAAATCTGCCTCATTTTGGATGCTGGCTATAGCAAATTAATATAAGGAATAAAGTAGAACCAGAAAAGAAAGCAAGGTCACCACCTCAAGACAAAAGAAACAGCTCTATTAACATAAAGATGGGGCTGGGGATGTGGCTCAAGCAGTGGCGCGCTCGCCTGGCATGCGTGCGGCCTGGGTTCGATCCTCAGCATCACATACAAACAAAGAAAGATGTTGTGCCCACTGAAAACTAAAAAATAAATATTAAAAAATTCTCTCTCACTCCCTCTCTCTCTCTCTCTCTCTCTCTCTCTCTCTCTCTCTCTCACTCTCTCTTAAAAAAAACATAAAGATTGGAGTCACAATTGGTATGGTATAATGTCAAAAAAGCAGGGAATTTCAGGGCAGTGGCAAGCATCTTGGTGAAATGACTAATCGTGGAACTTGAGCTGGCTTGCTAAAGCAACCAATGAACTAGGGGAATAAGGTTGGCAGGGGAATACTAGAGGTCACAGGAACACAAAGAGCAGACTTCATGAGCATGAGTAAAAAGGGCAAAAGTCTAGGACCACACCCTCTGGGACACTGAACCTGCCTCTGGAGTACTTGTCCACCTCCCCTTCTCATTTTATGAGTTTTCCAGCTGAGCACATTTTTACCAATTTTCCAAAAGCACCTCTAGCATTAACATCCCTACTCAAAACCCTCAAAGGCTCTCCATAGCCTAAAGCAGTGATTGACAAACAAGGAAGTTCAGAATAATCACCTCCTAAGAGTGATAAATGAGAAAGGAATGAGTAAGTGGAACTTGAACTAAAATAGCTTTTGATGTAAAATAAAAATATCTGCAGAAAATAAGGCAAGTGTGAAGGTTTGTTAAAACTGGATATTTGGTACACTGGGACCTGTTATACTTTTTTCCTTCACTTTTATCTACTTGCAATAGTCATAATTGATGTACTTTTAAATTTCAAATCTAATGGCACACTTGTTAAAAAGAAGGTTTGGGGGCCCAATTCCCAAATATATTCTAACTCAGAAGATGTGCAATGGGGAAAGGAAAATGTATTATTAATATCACACTTGATTCTGCAGCAGATAGACCAACGTCACAGTCACACTTGAAGAAATAAATTGATTTCTGACCTTCTAGTGTACTCCAGTTTCTGCCAACACCTAGTTCACTTCAACTCCACCAAAACAATCCAACACCATGTATACTCAGTCATTTGACTGCTTCTTCCAGTAATTAATGTGTTAACTTTCAGTGTATCTTCATGTCTGTTCTGTGAAAATAGACCTGGAACTTTGAAATATATTTTGATTTGCCAGCTTGTATGGTTTTAAATTTTACCAGTAATCAATGGTGCGGAGACACTGCAGTAAGGGGGGGGGGTTACTTCCTGTTTCCTGTGTGCTCCCTCCACATACTCTTGCTGAGCTCCCAGTTTTCCTTTTGGTGCACCATTATGTCTACTCTGTGAAAATGGACCTGAACTTTGAAACATTTTTACTTTGCCCACCTTCTGAAGCACTAGCTTCCCCAGGACACAATGTACCAAATGTACTGTTTCCCTTGGCACTGCCCTTGGGCAGCTCTGTAGTTAATTGTCTCTGTTAAGACACCTTCCTTGCGAACTAGTATCTTAGAGGAGCATATTTATGGCTAGTTCCAGAGGACAGATGTCCAACAAGTTCCACTGACTCAGCACCAAACAACTTCTCTAATATATGGCCTAGATATCAGAGAGGAGGGTTATCACAGTTCTACGAGTATTGGCTATTACACGTTATTTGTCTTTGTGTGTGTGTGTGTGTGTGTGTGTGTGTTGCTGGGGATTGAACCCAGAGACTTGTGCATACGAGGCAAGCACTCTACCAACTGAGCTACATCCCCAGCCCCTACATGTTATTTTTATATTGTCTGTTATTCAATATTACATCTGCTATTCCTATATTCTTTTAGAGTTCCCTTTTTTCTTACTAGGCCAGTCCCTCAATGTTCCAATCCTGTTATACTTCTTTTTTTCTATTGTTGTTGGTGGTGGTTGTATTGGGGATTGAACCCAGGGGCACTCAACCACTGAGCCACATTGCCAGCCCTTTTTATTTTTTATCCTTAATTTTTTTTT